TAATGCAATTCATAAACTTTACTGACGATGTGACACTCACCTTCATCATTATAATTATTTCACCCGCGCCGGACAGAGACTGAGACGGTGCCGATGCATGTCATGCCAAACCCCTTTAGATCAGCCTTTTTAGAGACTGCAGATCAATCATCCCAACGTGATTATCGGCCGATAGTGATCGGTAGCCGATCAATCTGAGCACCCCTAGTGACAACAAAAGCCGATATTGGTTTCGCCTCGGCCGAAAAGTTGTGCTTGAACACACCACAAAGTCTACAGCCAACAGCCTACTAGTATGAATGTTTTGCACCTGCGTGAGAGGAAATAATCCTCCATACCTGCAGGTATTTAGTAGTTTGGCTTCATCATTTAAAATGGGAAACTGGAAGAGCTAGGACTGCGGATGTACAAACCGTAAATAAAGCAGAATTTGCTTAAAGCAGGATTTTGTCACTTCCGTTTGTCTTCTTGGGCACTGGTTTGCTGAGAACAGCCAATCAGAGTGATCTCTTGCACCAATGGGCTTCACTGCCAACATGTTTAATCTGCTGAAAAAAGTCACTGATGGCGGTCCAGCAGTATGGAACACACCACAAAAAGGAGACTAAAATAGTCTAAACGTCGGCCCAACAGTCGACTTTCGGCCTTAAAGTCCGCATGAAATCAAAATTGACTTTATTTACTTTATTAGCGCACATTGCTAGTCTTGATGTGAAAAATTAATCCGTTGAAAAAAATTGTTTGTCTTGGTAATCTTTAATCAAAATCTGAACATTTACTTCTGCTCTGGAATGGCATTCCTTCTCTGATGACGTCAGTTTGATGGCTTGGGCAAGAATTTCCTTAAACACACCCCTCCAACCGTTAGGTTGCTATGAGTGAGAGACAGAGAGGAGGAGCGCAAAAAATAAAACCACACCCTCTATTCAATATTCCGTTTCAGCTGGAAATACGTCACTACACTGAAATAAACTCGACAGCAACTTCCGGTTCACGCAGACTTTAAAGTTAGAATAAAATTTAATTAATTTAATTTAATAAAAAAATTACATTTAATTAAATTAAAAGTAGTTCACTTCAGAATTTAAATTTCCTGATCATTTTCTCACCCCCATGTAATTCAAGATGTTCATGTCTTTCTTTCTTCAGTTGAATAGAAATGAAAGGGGACATAACACACACAGTTTCACCCAAACTCATGTTGATCTTTAGTACCTATAGAGAAAAATACAGCTTTCCGATTCTCTCCGAAAACAGCCGAGCTCCTGGAGGTGCGCCATGGGCGGAGCTAAAGAGTGACGAGCACTTGCCCGATTGCCAACAAAACACAGACATTTGATGCCGTTTCACTTACCGTCTGCAGTTCTGAATCATGACCGGGATCTTTTATAGCTGGGACGCTCCATCTTCCAGTATCAAACGATGTGCAAATCCAGCATTGAACTGGGCCTTGTTTATAAAGCATTTGTCAACAAACACACTTGCAAAACTCCATTGCAGCCCCGGAAAAACAAACTACATACACTGTTCACGTAACGCTGGGTTCTTTGGTAAGCTGAACAAGGTTATCTTTCCCTTACAGCCAAAAACACACTTCTTTGGAGACATTCTTCTCGAGCGAGTCCCGTTCAGTGCAGCCGAATGAAGCGCGTTGATGGGCACGCTCTCGCTCTGGTGTGTGTGCATGGGCGCGCTTTTCCAGGAGAAATGCCCATATAAGGAGTTCCACCCTTCATTACGTCACGGAGAGCCAAGCTCGAAAAAAAAACTCTCCGAAACTTGTACAAAACCGGAAGGAGTATATTTGACACAGAAATACTCCGTTCTACATTCATAATGTTTTTTTAAAGTTTGGCCATGTTTAGCATGAGAATCCAACTCTTTAACAGTGTAAATAACTCAACATGCATGAAATAGCATTAGACCCCCCCCCTTTAAGGTTTTTGAAGAAAACCTTCCAGGATTTTTCTCCGTATAGTGGACTTCAACGGGGACCAACAGGTTGAAGGTCCAAATTGCATTTTCAATGCAGCTTCAAAGGGCTCTACGCGATCCCATTCAAGGAATAACGGCCTTATCTAGTCTACTCTTATCTGTCATTTCTCACATCGCAGAGCTAGTGCAAGGCGAGCATTTGTGATTAAAAAGTATATAAATTTTTTTTTTAAGAAAATGTAAGATCATTTCGCTAGACAAGACCTTATTACCCTTAGCTGGGATCGTGAGCATTACCTGAGCCTTTAAAACCACAAGTTTAGGCTGGTTTAAGCACTTTTTCATTGGCGTTATTACTTTTGGATGGACAGAAATTCTGATTACAAAGTCTATGCGCATTTCCAATGGTTTCTTCAATGTTTTCAACACAGACCAGCACTGACACTTAAACATAACGATAAAACATAACGAGTGATGGGTTGAGTTTGTCAGTCAGACAGACTTTACCTGTCTAAGAACAAGAAAGTGCATGGAAACTAGTGTCTCAAACTCTAAGAACAGTTTTCTTTAGATAAATATATTCTGCTACATCAGATCCGAGCGCAGAGTTTGTCGTGAGTGTGTGAGGGCATGTGCTGCCGCCTCGCTCACGCTGAGGAGAGCAGAACAGAGCTGCAGTTCGGTTGAGCACTGATTGCCCGAGTGATATATTTGCTGCATACACACACCAGACTTCCAATTGGCCCTTATCTGTCCTGAGTGTTTCATCAGCTCAGAGAGAGAGAGAGAGATGGGGAAGGAAGGACATTAAAATATGTCCATAGGCGAAAATCACTCCAGGCTCTTAGCTGGGCTGAACAGTGTGTGATTAGAGCTGCATGGGGAAATGATGCAGTGGCTGAATTTTCCTCTCATCGAGTTTCCTCAGTGGGGTACATAACCCTCTACGTCTGTCCCTCCCACTCTTTCTCTCATTTTCTTCCACCCTCCCTCCATCCTCTTTCTTTCTCTCCTTGGCGCAGTGCAGTCAGCACACTGCATTACCTGTTCCAAAGCCACCGGCACCGTCCCGCTCAGGGGAAAACCCCCCATTCCACCTCCATATATGGGGGGCTGCCTTGGGCAGTGTGCCCACTGCATATATGAGGGTTTTAAAACTGCAGTATGTGTGTGTGTGTTTGCAGCCGCAGCAAATATTTGCCTTTGCACTATGAGTTTCGCCCGAGTCCATTTGTTCAGCTTATCAGGATGTCCTCTGGTGAGAGAGCGTTGTGTTGCAGTCATTGTTCATTGGGTTCAATAACAGTGCCAATGCTGATGGACAGGAGAATAGATTCCACCGCAGGCTTTTAGGACTCTGCGTTTGTTTGAATGTTCACTGTTAATGAGCTCCGTATCTTAGTCAGATGTTTCCCAACCACTGCTACAGGAACGAGCTTGTCCAATCGAATGAGTAGAGTGAGACTCCACAAAATGTTATGTCGTGAGGAAGTTTGATTGTATGGCTGTGTTGTAGTGAGCCGTCTTACCGACCACAAATATTCGCATGATAATGATTTTATTGGACATGCATATATTAGTTGTTTAAAAATCTAATGATTTTTGGGCATTTGGACATGTTCCAATATTAGCTGTTTAAAAATGTTGTTAGTTGCCTACTTTAGACACATTTCAACGTTTGCTGTGTTTCAAAACCTACTGAGATGCCCATTTAAACAGAATTAGTGGGCACACTGGAACATTTTCTTGGCTTTATTGGACATTCAAATCTGTTTAAACACTAGCTGTTAAACAACAACAACAACAACAACAAAAACCCTCCTACTTAGTTTTTTTGCATACTTGTGTATGGCTGTCTAAACATTGCTGCCTAAACCAGGCCCGGTTCTATGGGGGTGCTAGAGGGTGCTAACCAAATCAATAGCACCCTCAGGTAAAGCTGTAATAATGGCATTTCATTGCAGATTTGGCAAACTATCCAGTGCTTTATGGTTTGCGCTCTGGAGATCGGTTTCTATTTCAACGTGTTTTTGCAGCGTTGAGCAATGTAGCCAATCACAGACATATCTGTTACTTTCTTAAAAGCAACAGCACGAATCATCTCGTTATAACAAAGAGTAGACGCAATGAAAATAAGAGATTCATTGTGCAGCGTAGAGAACTTAATTAATTATAACGTAACTTTGTGAGATTGTGATGAACTAAGATGAATGACAGCTTTTTAGTGACTATGAACAGAGCGCTGCACTATAGCAATGGATGGCACTAAAATCTTTATATACTGTATATATTAAGGTTAGAGCACCCTCAGTGATTGGAGTCTGGAGCTGGGCCTGGCCTAAACTACGTTTTATGTTTTTTTTTTTTTTTCTTTCTTTCCTTAAATAATTTTGAATTTGACATGTTTGTATTTTTGCCCCCTCTCTTGCCTAAATAACATTTTTGGGTACATTGAAATGTTTGGTCCGAGATGCCTATTTAGACAGCATTGGTGGAATGTTATCTTATGAAAATTAACCATGGTTTTATTGTAGTAAAAGTGTTGAAACCATGTTTTTTTTGCATATTGATTACCATTTGTATAACCACAATTTTACTACACTAAAACTACACTATGGTTAGTGTAGCAAAACCATGGTTAATTTGTGATTACCATGGTTTAACTATAGTAACCATGTTTTTTTTTAAATTATTATTTGTAGTAAAACCATGGTTAATTTTCATAAGGGTTATTACAGGCATGTTGGCATGTTTGCTTCTGATCTACATAGCTAGACTGCATTTTTGGCCATCATATACAAAAATGCTTTTTGTAAGGAGTAGGCAAGTCGCTAGGTTTCGAAACACAGCCTGTGTGTTTGTTTATTGATTTCTCCTAACAGAGTCTGTGATTGGTTGTATTGCAGTGTAATGTTTTTACAGTACAGGATGTCAGCCGTTCTCTCTCGACGTGTGTATTCTCTCCACAGTGAGCGGGCAGGCTGACGAAAGCTGTTGTGTGCTGTGGCGTGTCTTGGTTGCATCAGTTTCTCGTTCTTACTTTGGGGTGCTGTTTGTGGTTTCAGAGCATCTTTGCCCAGTTCCAGTTCAGCAGTGAGAAGGTGCTCCCATCGGACGCTCTGCGCAGCGCTCTGGCCAAAACCTTCCAAGACGAGCAGCGCTTCCAGCTGGGCATCATGGACGACGCGGCCGAGTGTTTCGTAAGACTTTTGTTTTATCCCCATTTCACCCCTTTCTTCCACACTTTCTCCGTATAAGTTACGTTCTGTTTTTGCTGACACAATGATCAGCTTTACCTCCTCTCTTCTCATCCCTCTTTCTCTCTCAGGCATTTCCTCCTCTCCTCTCACCTCTCCTCAACCCTACTTTCGTCTCTCCTCGCGTCCCCTTTCCCAGTTCTGTCTTTTTTCGCTTCTCTCTTGGATTTTGTCAACCTTGATCTCAGATTCCAGAGATGTTAGGTGTTGAATTTCAAGCACTGCTGCTTGTGCTCATCCTTGTGTGGTTTGAAGAGTGGTAGAAATGGAAACATGAAGTCTGAGCAGCGTAGGGAAAATAACTCCGGAGGAAAGCAGACAGCTGAAGTTTGACAACTTTTTGTAATATTCATAAATTACTCCATGCACTGAAAAAGATGTGTCTCGGTGACGTTTCTGGCAGGACATGTTGGAGTATCTTTGATAAGTATATTTGATTCAAAATGGCTGGCTGATAGGATTCTCTGAGAATACAACGAGACTTTAAATAAAACCGTCTGAGGTTGATTCATATTTAACTGGTAAAGTAATGGATGGTTTTATTTCCTTCCGTTGTTGGGAGACAGATTTTGTCTACTATGTATGATCTTATGTAAATTCTTACTGCGTTTTTAGAGCTTTCTATCATCGTGGATGTTTTGTCAGCAATGTAAATACAATGGCAACAAAAAGTGGCTTAAAGACACACTTAAAGTGTCATAAAAATATCAAATCAATTCACATTTGCAAAAAAAAAACAAAACAATAGATTTCTTCTCAAAACTAACTTTTAGAACAATTCTGCGCCATCGTACAGTGACTTTAACCACCAGGTGAATTTTAATGGTTTTAATAGCCAATTTCCCCAAGCAGAAAAGCCAAAGATACTTCATCATAATTTGGAACATTATATCTGTTTTAACATGTGAAATGCTTACAAAGAGCTAGGGCTGTCAAAATGACTGAAAAACTACATTTGAATTTTCTACATAAATATTATGCACGTTTCTTCAAAGCGTAATAAAATAACACGACTATCTTTGAAAAAAAAGTGCATAATGTTTAAAATAATGTTTATAAACCATATATAATTAATAAAGTTGCTTAAACAATTAGAAAAAAAGCAGCACCATGTATGTATGTGTAGTTTAATACAAAGGATCGAAAACCAATCACAAAGAGTAGGCTACTTTCTTCATTTAAAAACATGGGATACAGTGGGATGGGGAAAAACCGCCATAAAGTCTTGAGACATGTTTTTTAAAAGTTGAACTTACATTAATTTTACATGGCTTTCTAAACATGTCACTCTCTTGTTCCAGACGCGAGTGTAACACTGATAGATGTCCCTCTAGAAAATGTGATAAATATGCGTTCTGTGTGAACGGCTTGGTTTCAGTTTTGACGTAAACAACATCTTCTCCACACTGATGCTCTCGTTTTCCGCAATATATTGAATGAACAACGTAGCAGCGCCGCATCTAGTGGGTTCAACTGGATAGGCTAACAAACGCATTAAAAGGCAATGACACTACATCGTCGTCGCATTTCGTGCGCCACTGATAGGCTGCCTGACGGCTGACGCAGACCTAAAATTCGAATGCAACGTTTTTGCATTCGAATGTGGATTTTTTTATTTTTATTTGACGAATATTCGAAATTCACATTTTTTTTTGACAGGCCTACAAAGAGCTGTATTTCTTTTAAAAAAAGCCACTTGGTTTGATATTTGATTGGGTGATGCACAAAAAATGCATACATTTTTTAAGACTTTTGTGTCCAAAAATGTTTTGGGGCCACTGCATCTTTCTTGGATGAGGCAATTCTAGAATGCGGTTTGACAAGCTCAGTAAAAATGTTTTTACAAAAAAGTCCATTAAAAGACATTCACATTCATCAACTGAAATGCAAGAGAGGCTTAACTACCACTCACAGGTCATTCCAGATTCGTGTGGGACTAGCATGTGGCTAAAATAGCAGCTTGATAATCAAAAAGCAATGAAGATACAGAGCACACACATACTCCATGAAATACTCCATTTTAATTAGATCGGACTACTTTGAAGTGCTGAATAAAATATCTTAATTGGACATTTTTACTGCGCTTGTCACAACGCATTCTAGGATTACCTCATTCAAGAAGGATACAGTGGTCCCAAAAAGTTTCAGCTCATTCTCATCAGAGGATCCATTTCAGTATTTCAGGCTTTTTTATTACGTTTTTATTTCTATTTTATTTTAAATGCATCTTTTCAGTTTAGTTTAGTTTTATTGACTTCGTCAAACTTAGTTTGTTTTGGTTTTAATATTTTAGATTTTATTGTATTTTTAGTGTATTTTAAAGCAGCCAAAGTTATTTTAAAATGTTTTCCCATGTTACATTTCTCAGCACGTTCTAGTGTTACTAAAGGTTTTAAGTATTATAATAGTTTTATAATATACTATGTATCAAAAACTAAAATTACATTTAGGCTATTTTTATTTAATTTAGTTTTAGTTTTTTTCCAGTTATGTTACTTATAATTTCAGTTAACAGTTCAGAAAAAAAAGTTTTTTAGTTTTGTTTTAGTTTTTATTACCAGTAATAAGATTTTTTTCTTATGTTCAAGAACTGCTAGATGGATTACAATAATATGCACAATTTAGACCAATTACAGTTAGAAATGGCTGATATTGAATCTAAGAACACAATGTTGTTGCCTGTGTAGACGGTAGACCGCTCATACACTCATTGGAGCTGTTTTTATGTGGATATTTAGATTTATGGCCTTAGGTGTCATGGGCTTTACAGGCATATGGCAGCAGGAGTTGGCAGGTATATATACGGGCTCTGCTGTTGCTTAAAATGAGCTCGGATAGGATTATTAAGGATGTGGAAGCTTTCTATAAGGTCTTCCTGTACTCCTCAACCAACTCCTCTAATCCCCAGACCTGATTATTCGGCCCGGACTTGATTAAGGACCATAGATTGTGTTTATCTCACATTTATGTCCTTAAAGGACACACCACGTGAGCATCAATACAGATAATTGCTTTTAAGCAAATAAGCAATTGAACGATCATTCACGGGCGAGCGGCTGAGCTGTCCAATCAAGATAGCTCGCCGAGAGACCCTGTGATTGGCTCCATCTTAAATACCCATTTATATGCAGCCAGTACTGTCTATGTCAGGGCTTTTCTGCCATAGATCTGTGAATGCAGCTGTGCTTACTCATAAGGTCACAAAAGACAGCATCATCAAAGTGTTATTTAGTTCAATTAGCACCTCGTCTGCAGTTCGGTAACAAAGGTCTGTTTCTGTCGCGGGCTCATTATTTTTAGCTGAGGATCTGTTGAATGGAGCTGCCAAGATTTCTCCCATTTGTTTGACTGCCGCATTCGCGAGGCAGACGCAGGCATGGGGCCAAAGCGCTCGGCGCGCCATCCGTCTTTTAGATGCAACCCCTCTCCTCACGTGCACCAGACGACAGGCAGTACATTAGCGAAATGCCAACTCTTCATTTCTGCCTCGCTCCTCTGCACATCTGCACCCCTGCATAAATAGCTGCGTTATTATCTGAGCAGGAAATGAAACGCTCCATACACTAATGATTTGTTGTGTGATACTCAATGAGAAGTGTCTAGCGGAGGGCGTGAGATGTGATGTTTTTCAGAGTGAAAAATTAGGTTGAATGCAGTGTGTGAAGAGTCTATTTACAAGCTCAGTGAACTCAGAGTTATTAGTGTTGGGGAGTAGATAATTAGTACTTGTGGTACTAACTTACCTATATATTTTTTTAGTTGTTTGACTAGCTTAACTGTTTCAGGTCCTCTAGAAAACTTTTTTTGCTAAGAGTAGTATAACATAATGCTGCTTTGCTGATTTTTTTTTAAAGGCGGCATAACGCATCTTTCCTCAAAATGTCTTGTAGTGAAAGTTAAATTATGGCAAATCTCTCTGCACTTTTTGAGAACCTTTTGAAAGCTTCAGGCTGGGCCAGTGGACAGAGTAGAGATGCTTCTCAGTAATTATGCAAAAGATTTTACAATTGAAGTGCATTGTCATTTTAATAACATGTGCTTCTGGTTCTTTTGCTCTTCTGAGAGGAAAGGGCCTGGACAACCACATGTGCTCAACATTACTGTCCTTTTCTCTTTCTAGCAAACTGACAAATTGACAAACTCACTGAGAAATACTCTTTAATTTCCTGATTGTTATTGTTCCTTGCATTCTTCTTAAGGTCATATTACAGGTCCCATGTGATTCATGTGAATTTTACCATCGATTTTGGTGACAATAACCAGCAAATTCCAAAGATTTAGGCCTTTGCGATACTCATTTAAAGGGGAGATAACACACACAGTTTCACCCAATCTCATGTTAATCTTGAGTACCTATAGAGTAGTGCTGCATCCTTCATATCTCCAAAAAGTCTTTAGTTTTTTTCATATTTATAAAAGAAAGATACAGCTTTACGATACTCTCCGGAAAAAGCCAAGCTCCTGGAGACGCGCCGTGGGTGGAGCTAAAGAGTGTCGAGCACTTGGGCGCCGAATGCCAACAAAACAGACATTTGATGCCGTTTCACTTACCGTCTGCAGTTCTGAATCATGACCGGGATCTTTAATAGCTGGGACCGCTCCATCTTTCAGTATCAAACGATTTGCAAATCCATTGTCGAACTGGGCCTTGTTTATAAAACGTTCGTCAACAAACACACTTGTGAAACTCCGTTGCTGCCCCGGAAAAACAAACTGTATCCACTGTTTACATAACGCTGGGTTCTTTAGGAAGCTGAACAAAGTTATCTTTCCCTTACAACCAAAAACACACTTCTTTGGATTGGAGACATTCTTCCCGAGCAAGTACTGTGCAGCGCTGCCGCCGGATGAAGCACGTTGATGGGCGCGATCTCGCTCTTGCTCTGGTCGATGTGTGCGTGGGCACGTTCTTCCGGGATAAATGCCCATATAAAGAGTTCCAC